TGGTGCAGTGTCCATATTTGAAAAGAAAGCGATTGCATCATTTCTCTTTCTATACATTGAATTTAATTTGCTTCCATTCTTTCAGCATGAAGACTGTGGATTTGATGTTTCTTCATGAAGTAATTTTTTGCCAGCTCTGTATTGTTTATGTCTCAGCTGGCTAGGCCAAAAAATGTAAGCCATTAAACAAAAGAAATAAAAAAAGAAATTCACTGGGTAGGATCAGGAGAGTGAGTCTGAGTGTAACCCTTTGCTTATCTCTACGTTGAATGAGTTCATTTTCTTAAAAGTTGCATAAAAATGTGTTATTTTACTATTTTATACCAGTTGGCCTCTGCTTTGCCTTTTGCTCTCTGGAGATGTATGTTTTTGTTGTATTGACTCACTTATTTCTTAACACTTTTATTTGTTACAGGAATTTTTTGAGCCCTTCAAAGTCCTTCAGAGCTAATACCTGCACTAGACTGTTTTATTTATTTTACCGTTGACCATGGTGATCTTTAGGCTAAGGAATTGACTATGTCAGGAATTCATGACAGCTATGTTGCGAAGCTTATTTGTAAGCTGACTGAACGCTAATGTGGGCTCCAAAAGAGGTGAACATGTAATACTGTTTATCCTCACTAGGTTAAACTTCATCTTACACGTATTACTGACACATGCAGCTTTTTGTGCATTTTTTAAACTCTGTGGAAATCTTCAGAATAGGGAAAATCTTGGGAAGCATCATTTAAAGACATTAATAATTCTGTTATCCTGAGCCTCCTTCCTGAGTTTACACTTTGCTAATTTTAATCTCACTACATTAAGCCAATTTCTAAAAGAGGAAAACTCTGCGTGAGATTCAAACTTAGTCTTACACCTGTGTGCATTTCTGTTGCTCACATTTCATCCAGATGCTTCCTTCATCCTAGGAAAATACAAAGGAATCTATTGTTGAGAGACTTTCTAAACTCCATATGTGCTAATAAAGGTTTTGAGAGGTTTGGAAAATATAATGCAGTGTTTAGTGTTTAAGATTCGGGAATCTGAATTGCATTAACAAACTTCTTAGTCATACTTGTTTAAGGTGTTTTTTTTCGTAACTGCTGATACTGATAGCCCACAAGAATACTTCCTGCTGTTTAGCTGGAGTAAAATTCTGAGATTAATTTAGGGCAAAGTTGAGTATGAGGGGAGAGAAATTACAATAATATTTATTTTATGGCCTTTTTTTCATGGATTTAGCACAATTTCCACTGAGATACAAACTATTTACAAAACACTTGCTAAATAAATCTCCCAGTGAGATGTGGATGAAACTCTATAGCACTAATATTTCCATTCACATCAGTGAGTTGTGTGGCGTACTGGCCATCTGTTACATAAACCTGAATAGGATCTGAAATCCTTACACCAAAGACTTGATTTTTTTATGCCATCGCTTTTATGGAGGTGTGCCATAAAAATGACCATGTGCTGGCAACCTGTGCAACTGGGACCCCTTTAAATCTGTGCAGAAGTGATGACATTTCAAGCACCTCAGCATCTCTTAAAATTAAAACAGCTAATTGCATTAAGGGCTGTGTGTTGAAGAGATTATACTCTTGCCTAGAGTTTGTTTCCCCCCACTCCATCTGCAATATCCCTGATGGGGTCCACAGCTGTGAGAGCAACGGTGTGCGCGACAGACTGCCTCACGATTGGCAAGCCAAGTGGAAGGAACGCCGAGACCCACAAGGATTGCTGGACCCCGGAGGGCTTTCAGCTTGTGAGAACAACGAGCTAATTAAAGTCTAAGTAAATGGAATGTCCTTCTAGCTGAAGGAGAGATAAATAAATAAAGGCCAGCGTGTTGTTCCCCACGACTGAATAAAGATGAAAATGATTGTGTTGTGTTTACCTAGTAACGTCTCTTTAATGGTGAAAGGGGGTCCGTCAGCAGAGTTGGCGAATATATGCAAATGTGCAGTTCCTGATTTCTTTTTAATCTGTTGGTGTAATAGGAGGGCTTCAGCAAAGCTAATGAAAAGTATGTATATATGTGAAAAGTATACGTTTTCTAATTATTTTTCAATTCGTTTGGAAGTTTTTAAAATCCCAGTATGTATTTTTGGCAAGTATCTTCTTAGGTACTGCTTCCTTGTCACTAGCAAGTTCTCTTCTGCTCACACGCTGGTGCGTTGTACACAGATCTCACTGAAGGGGCCGTATGCTTTGCTTGCAAACCCATGGAACAGTATATGGCACTAAAGCATCAATTTATTTCTTCTTTAGTTAGAAATATCATCTTAGCCTTCCCGTCTTATATAGTGTCAATAAGAAAAATAGGGGCACTTAAAAAATTGATCTCATATTGATGTTTTATTTCCATTTAATTTTATATAGGCCACCTTTTTTTTTTTCCTTTTTTTTTCACTAGGCCTAGGCTAAATAGGTATTTAGGAAACTATACCTAAGACAGATATTTAAGAGAGAATTTAATTTCAGCCATGTATAGTCCATTAAGACTGTTTGTACTTGAAGTGAAGCACTTGCTGAAGCGCTTTGCTGAAATGAGCCCTCAAAGGAGTCTAATTCTGGAAGGACCGAGCAGTCGCAGTTCTGAGCTAAACCTTGTCCTTGAGAAATTAGGTTCCCAAATGGAAACTGGAGTCTCTCTAGGCACCCTTTCTGCAAAGATGTGGCCACTGAGTTAGGTCTTGATTTTCACATTTCCCATTCTCACAAATGAAAACAATGGGTACGAGACTCCATAAAGAGACTGCCGGACTGCTAAAGAAATCTGCAGCCGTGTGTAGTCAACAGTCTTGACCTAATATCTGCTGAAAAGGGTAATCTTACTACTTAAAATGCAAAAAAAAATAATAAAAATAGTTGTCTGATAATCTGTTGAAAATCTAACACTAACCTTTTTGTGTTGTTGCCCTTAAATGTTGTAAAGATTCATTCCTGACTGTATAGGTAACAAATACTAAACATATTTAGATTGTAATTCCTTTAAGAAAATACCGTGGAGTGGGAAAAGAAGTAAGAAATTGGATGCCTGGTCTAGGAAGACAAACAGACACAGCAGAATGAGTAGAGAAAACATCTTTTTTCTGCTTATTTTACAAGCAGGAGTGTAAAGGAAACCATTCTTTCATTACATGTGTATAAAAATAGGCTGTGAGAGTGACTTCTCCAGGCATGAGAACGCCTAGCACTTTCCCGTTACCTTGATCCTCATCTGCTCATTTGCTCAAAAATGAACCAGAGGTAAGTTTTTGCTGATACCTCCCACAGAGTTTAGCATAGGAATAGCACATACATAAACATGCCCTAATCATGAAACAAGGGCAGCAATATTGTAGTGAACTACAGAAAATCAGTCACTGCTCACTTCTGTTGTCAAGAGGCAGCGAAAGTCCAAACACTGATTAATGCAATTTTTAATTCTGGTCAAAGCTAAGAAGGAATGCATGAATGGATTAAAAGAATGAGCTGGGTTGATTATAAGGAGAGAAAAAAAAGGCAAAGGATCTCTTGGTAGACAGGATGTGCAAGGTCTCAGGATTATTTAATGAAAAGTAGGCCAAGTTCAACCTTGGTCTAAATCATCTGACCTTAATCTATTGCGAGAGAAATTAAAAGTTCAAATGAACTCATTGTGCTGGACAGCTTTTAACTCTGCAGACTGCCTTCTCTTGCTGCGCACTCTGCCGAAATCCCAGCTGCTGCATTGTTTGTTATTCCTGCTCCAGCCGTCTGCTGTGCTCCGCAATAGCAGAGGAGAGAGATCGTGCCAAAGAAGCTGCGTTAAATTTGTAAAGCGGATTGGCACCCTGATTGTGGGCATCTAGGTACCTTGCAAATACAGATAAGGAACTGATAGTGTTAGTTGCATGCAGTACCGCCTGCAACTTACGTAATATATAGATTGAAGGAGGTAATTAAACACTGCAGTACTTCTTAACTGTGTGAACCTGACAAAGTTTTCATCTTGGAAATCTGAATACCTCTCCCTTATGTGGCAATACAAGGACCTGAGGAAGTGCTAAGTTTTGCTGTAGGTCTGAAGGGCCAGTGTTATATTTGTAGCTTCTTCCAGTTTCCTTTGAACACAGGAGAATCCTGAAGATACGTTGGTATAATTGTTACACAGCACGAGGTCTGAGTTTTGGGTGAAATCCAGTCCATCTCATATTTCTCTGTAGTTCCATCCATCTGGATGTGTGATGAAGCAGTCTTCCTAAAGTATATGCCCAGAGTCCATACATAACTGGTAGACATGGTTTCGGAAGTCCTCCCTTGTGAGATCCTGCCTTCTGCGCTTTTGGCACCCAAACGGCTTGGCTACAACTTTCATAGAGACTATAGAGATACCATCCTCCCCTCATTAACTGTATAGACAAATGTAGACATTTGCTGTACAAGTACTTAACCCGAGGTACACGTTCATGTCTCAGGTGAGCTATACCCTGTCAAATGCTTCTCCAAAAAAAACCAAACATTACTCCCCATGCTATTTTATTCTGTCTGTACCTTACCGTAATGATTTCTCCCTCCTAGAACACAGCTGGGGAGGATATTATCAGGGGAGGTTTGCAAAAGTGAGAAATTCTGCCTATAACAACGCCAACCTCAGACAAAACAGGCGTTCATGCTTCTAGTGACTGCTGGGTTTAATGGTGTGGCTGAGAAGAGTCTCCTGCCTGCAGAGGGCATACGACTCCTCACTTTTCCCTGCCAAAATATGTGTGGAATAGAGAGAAACCGATGGACCATATCTGAAAGTGTTCATGCATGTGATGGATCAGGAATATCACCATGTACCCGGGGGTACCAAAAGCGTACCATAAGTTTTTTCAGTCGAGAAACTGGACTCTTCAAGCATCCACATATCCTTCCACAAAAGCAAATTGGTGCTTTACGTAGGGAACATGGAAGCCTCTCCAGGGCTCATGTCCAGCAGGAACACACTGTGGGTACTCATGCTCCTTAAAAATCACCTGTTTTCATTTGTGTCTCTCCATTTCCAGAGCTCCCAACACAGTGGCTCCTCTACCTCATTAGCATCCACCAAAGTCTGCAGCTCTATGGATGAAAATGATGGACCTGCAGAAGGTAACGTTCGAAGGCTGACATTTCAAAGCAGTGAGTGTGGTGATAACAGCAGCTGTGTAGGAAGTGAGTCACCCTTCCTGCCAGGGAAGGTGGGAGCACTGAGGGCTGGATGACTCTCCATGAGCAGACTCATCAGTCTGAGCAAACCAGTTAGCTTGACTCTGGATCGGACTGGATGTGGACATCGCTATTCAGAGGTGGTTTTGTTGCAGGGTACTGGAGATGCTAGTTCTGCGTGTGGCGCAGTGCCGACTGGATTGATGCAGCAATTTTTTTGTCTCGTGTCATGGTATTGAACACACTGCGATCCTGGGTCTTTACTCAAAAATGTTTAGTCACACCCCGTACTAAGGCTTTGAGCAAGTTGTTTTCCTCGAATACTGCCTGTTCGCATGCACATATGTGTAAGTGTGTGTGTACATTCTCATCTGACAGAAACTCCTCATGCTGCCCGTGAATTCAGGCGAACCCCGGCCTCCTTGTATCATAATATTTGCTTTTAATACTGAAGTGGAAGAAGGGACAGAGAAAGATACAGTTAAAACTGCTGCCTTAAAAAGTGTAAATTCAAGTCACATTTCTGAGAGGTTTTTTTTTTACATTGCTATATTTATATAGTAGTTTGCATCAGCTGCAGCTCACAGTCAGCTTTTAGAGGCATGTTAGGTATTTGTAACATGCTATTTCAAATACATTTAAAAATAATGGTACATGAATGATCACTAAAACACATGAAACTACAAACTTTTCTTATGTTTAGACACTGTGTAATGCAATTTTATCTAAACATCTGGTGCCCAGGTTGCATGCAAGGTAGTATTATTGAGAACATTTGTTTAAAAACTAAATATTTAATATTGGGAGGGGGGGGAGGACTAGCACTTAGCACATGAGGAGTTTTATGGATGTCTCAGTTTACAGGATGTAATAAAATAAGTGCTTGAGTGTTGGACTTCTTTGGTACATACATTTAATCATGCTGTGTCAAGGAGTTCCAGCCTGTATTGGAGGCTCGTCTGCGCTTGTGCAGATCACAGAGGCCTTTCCATAATTAAAAAAATACAATTTTGGTTTTGTCCTGGGGGCGTATTGCAATGGGAATGGTAAACTATGTAACACTCAAATGGTGGTATGTTTGAGCCCCCAGAAGTCTTATTTTTCATTATTGTATCTGTGTGAAACCTGTTGAGTATATACAATGTCAGCAGCATGGTTTCACTGTACAGTAAGTGAGATACTGACTCTGAATGATTTCCAGGCTCCTAAACTATAGACTTAAAATGCATGTTATGTGCAACATCTGTGTTTCCTTTACTAACAATAAAAATGTACTAATGATTCTTTCAGAAGTGTTGGAGGAAGGTTTCCAGGTCCCAGCATCGATAGCAGAGCGATATAAAGTTGGAAGGACTATAGGAGATGGAAATTTTGCTATTGTGAAGGAGTGTATAGAAAGGTGAGGAGGATAATATGCTTATTACTGGAAAAATAATCATTAGTGTCATGCTTTTTTCTAGATCATGTCTTTGTTTGTAGCATATAGGACGGGTAATAAGGTAGTGTCTCAATGTCAGATGGACAACCCAAACTAATGCCCCCTCGTATGAAAAAAAAGAGTGAGTGCAAGGGACAGTCTATGAATTTAAGTCTTTGTGGGTTTTATATGTTGGCTTGTTCCGGTTCTTTTGGGGTTTTATTTCTGCTGCACTCTGCATTATTTTACCAGTTCTCTGTGTTAAATCTTCCTTATTGCACAAAAAATTAACATCTTTTCTTGCAGTATATTTTTGCAACTCTCCCCTTACATTAGACACTGAAACACTTCACAAGTTGGAACATTCTGTGAAGATGTCAGGAAGTTTTGTGTGTGCAGTGTAGTGATTGTGGTCAGCACACAGAGCTGATTTTGCATCCGTCTTTTCTGCCACCTCACACTGATAAGTAACTTTTTTCATGTTTATCTTTAATTAAATGAGCATCTATCTCTTGCTTGTCTGCTTTATGTTATTATATGAGCGCCATCCAACTGTAGGAGCCTACTCTGCAGACATCAATATCTTAACTTCTTCAGTGCCCTTTAGTGATAAGAGGTAAGAAAAGCCTGATTTTAGATATCTACTCCAGATTAGAGAAACCACAAGTCACCTCGAATGTTAGTGTTGCTGAAAATGTCCAAGTTGACTGGCTCAGGTTTCTCAATCTGGTCAGGCGTGTCATGAACCAGGTTTGAACTGGCTCTACCCAGTGTTAAGTGTCAAAAATGGGGAACAAAGACAGAAATGTTCTGAGCAGAACTGCAAGTGCCTTTTGGTCATACTGTTAAAAATAGAAGAAAACAGGGTAAAAAAAATGGAAGGTACCTGTATGTGAAATGATGGTAAGATTGTCCATGTTAGATAGTAGCAGTGCAGAGAAAGCAAAAAAACTGCCAGAGCTAAAGATGTTAAAAAGAGAGAACAAAAGAGGTGTCAAGGTCTGATCATGAAATTCCACAAGCAGAGTTTATATCCCCTATTACTGTATTCTAGAGAGGAGACTCTTGTAGAAGACTATAACCTCACATTTGGGCTCAAATAAAGAACTTTTGCTCTTTAGCCTGTTAGAATGTGATGTTAACCCAAGAGAGTAAGTCAAGATTACGTCTTATGGCAGATGATGATAAATTACCTTAACTGCTTTTAAACTAGAGTCTCTGTAGAATCTTGCATGTCAGAGACAATGAAGACAGCTGTTGGGGAAAGGGTGGATTTTGTATCAGCTGACACTGTGCTTGTGGGACTTGGCCGAAGCTCTTGTGAGGCCTTTAGAGCTCTGTCGGAGTGAATTCCTGGTGAAGCTGGTCATCCAGAGTGATGGCTGTTCACATCAAATCCCAGGGTCTGAACACTAAACTAGGGAATATGGAAACCTAAAGGAAGGAAAGTGAAGTAGTATGAAAGCAAAAAAGCACTGTAAAACCTTATTGAGAGGACATGACTGGTGAAAAACATGGGTGAAAACATAATTGAGAAAAGAGGAAAAGGCAAGCTAAAACTAAAGTGAGTAATAACCAGAAGAAACTGATTACAAGGCAAAATAAAAGAAAAAAAATTGAGGTTTTGATACACTGTCATTCAGCTGAAAATACCAATTGTCCTGAGACAGTTCAAATGTGCTATTGTGCATTTTACAGCTATGTGTCAAGCTGAGAGAAAGGAGATGAAAAAATTAAATATAGGTCCCACCGCACCTAAAAATAATACTGGTTGCAATATCCTCGAGAGCTTAACTGAAAAGTGTTTCCTGTCCTCTTGTCTATCCCACTGGTCCCAGAAGTATCTGATAGCACGACATTTCTAGTGAATCTGCGCTTAAATAGCGTGATTACTCAGGTATTCCCAGATACATACTCTTATGGCCTCTGGGCTATACCATTCCATAGATCCCATTTATATCAAAGAGTTGCTACTTCAGAAGAACTTGAAAAATAAAGCAGATTTATTTGTTAATTTTCACTTGTAAAGCAGTATACCCTTGTCATCACAAGTGTGGAAGGAGAAATTAAAAGGCTCGGAGGGTAAATTAAAGCCAGTACAGGTAAAACACCTTCAAAAACATTCTTCACAGTCTTTCTAAGCAAAAAAACACCTCACTTCAAAGTCTGATATGTCCATCATTTGCAGAGGCAGAATTGATGGGGTAATACTTAGGACAGAGGACTTTTCCACCTTCTTCTGATGTACAATTCCTCTGTGCGTTACACTTCAAAGGAATAGCACCATGAGGTGTTAAGCAAGGAGGAATGGGTCTTGTTACACATCTTCATTGATCACATGGATATTTCTTCTCCATCGCTGTGGAGACCAGCCCATGTGCACTGGTTCGCCACGCTTCAAATGTGTTTGCAGGCATCTTCCTGTGACAGCAAACAGTCCAAATAGAAACCAAAAAAGTCTTTAAAATTTTCACATGAGGGCTTCTAGTCCCATTCTGTTCATCTGCGAATACAGGGGCATGAACACCCACACACGAATACATTTAACGCACACACAAAAGTAACAAAGATAGGTTTTTGTCTCCAGTGCAACAGAAATTTCTCTGGTGTTCGCAAAAGGTGAAAACAGACAGGGAACGTGGCATTGAGCCATGTTATGGGCTAACTGCGCCCTGCAGTAGTGCTGTGGGTCCAGACATACAGCCATAACGTGTTTTCTACTTCGTGTGGTACCTTTCGATTGTTTGGGTTAAGTGATAAGTGAGAGGTGAGACACCCGTTTCACTGGGAGTTTCTGGCATGGCCACTTCATATTTTTGGTGAGTGTGTAAGTTGCAGCGCTGCTGACAGCCTGTGGTTCTACAGCTTTTTAGGGGAAAGGATTTGCATTATCTTAGCTTTAATTTTCTTTTTACCAAAACAAAGAGCAGTCAGAGTTGTCATCTGCTCGTTACATATCTGCTCTATCATATGTGCAATTTGTCCTGCGGTGTTTTTATATGTGTTCATTTTTAACTTTCAGATACTTCCAGATTCTGACATTTCCTCACTAGCTCAGATTTCCCAGCGTTTTGGAGTACCCGGAGTCTCCCATGGCCAACAAAAACCATCAATTTCCTTTCTCATGACAGAAAGGAAGCATTCCTAGGGCAACCAAGCAGCTTGAAAGGGGCTTCTATTGAAGGAGGGTATATTTTGTCTGAGTTTGAAACTCAGATGTCTTAATTTCTAATATTTCTTCTACCTCCTCCTTCCATTCCCAAAAGGTAGTGTCCGTATGTCTTCCTATCCTCTAGCTGAGCTGGAACTGTATCTACCAGCAGAATTAGGAAGGGACACCCCACAGGGAGTGTGGCCCATTTGGAGACTGTAGCATTAAACCCCTTTGTGAGGGGGTACAGATATAAGAATTTTAAAAATTTTCTTTGGTTATGTTTTAAACAGTCATGCTGTGTGTTTTTTCCAAGTCATAAACATAATCATCCAGTGTGATTTCTTTGCACAGCCTTTTAATTGCTGTCTTAGTACAGACTATCTTTGCTCCCTGCTGACCTGGGAACTCAAACAGGTTCAGTGTTTTGCTTGGTTTTTTTTTTCTTTTTACTGAAGTCCCCATTTTCCCTTAAATTAATACCTAGTGGAACATCATTGCCAGAGGAGTTGTCAGCTTAAATATGGCAGTGAAAATGCCCAGTCATTTTCCTAATGTAGTGCTTTGTGTTTATGACTCACTTTGTATCTTATATTTGAAAGACTGTGCACACATCTGGGCACATTCAGCTCTCTATTTAATTTAGTGTATGTATATATATATATCAATGTAATGTATAAGTTTAACTATGTTTTTCTAAATGAAGAATGAAAAAATCACCCCATATACCTGATAGGTAATTTTTTCTTTATTTTTTAACCAAACATATGCCTAAAGGCAATATAATAGACTTTTGTAAGCCATTTGGATTTTTATTACAAAATGCAAGCATTTTGAAAAGAGCTTTTTCTTACATTCTCCATTCTCCATTTAACCTTATAGTAAAACTAGAGCTTGTGAAGAGAGCTTCTTGGTTTCATCCTTACAGCCATCATTTGGTTTTGTAACTTCATAAAGAAATGGAAGTTGATACTGTTAACTTGTCTGCAGGCTTCTTATTCTGTTAACATTCTATATAATAAATATCTACATATATGTGATATTAATAAATATTATATGGCTTCAAAAAAAACCCGACACTTGAAAGGAAACATGTTCTTATCCTAATTATAATTTATTAATGTGTCCAGACATTCCATATTCTGTCCTATTAACATCGTATTTAACTCTGCTAAATATCATGTACTTGCTGAATATATAAAACATTATTCCAAGAACTGACATTTTTATCATAGCAGTTTCGAGTAGAGACGTGCAAAGAAATGACATTTCATTTTAAGTAAAAAATAAGAGTATTTTCCATAGCTTTGGGTGGTTTTTTTGTAATTAACCTCAAAACTTTTAAGTTTTGAAAACAGTTGGATATACAAATACAGTATAATATTTTTACATAAAATTGCAGAAGAAATAACAATTAACACTACAAAACAAAGAAATCAAGTTACTGTGTTTTGAAGACATTGAAATGTCTTCATTTTTTCAACTAGAAGTACTTAATGCTTCTTTCTAAGGCACATGTATTCAATAAGTTTGGCTCAAGTTCACAATTTCTGCCAAACCCAAGCTTCATTTCTTGACAAAACAAATACTTGAATAGAGTTCTTGCCCAGACTTACTGTGCTCAAATGACAAATACAAGCTCACCTGAGACAAATATTCACTGTGACTAAACATACATTTTTTTCCTTTTCTCTTTCTTCAGATCAACTGGTAGAGAATATGCTCTGAAAATTATCAAAAAAAGTAAATGTAGAGGAAAAGTAAGTACAAAAAAAATCATACGAGACCAAAATTTTCATCTTATTTTTTTAAAGAAACGTTTTGTGAGAGATCAGTTTGGGAAGCTGTTGATATTTGTCTTCTTCCTGGGAAGTGTTAAAATCTTTTTAGTTGAAGCCTTTGCCTGCCCTCTGGAAGCCCTTGGAGTATCAGTATAAAAGGCTGCCATGTGCCTTTCTAGATGCGTCTGTTGATTCTCCAGTTTGTTGGTTGCATGGAGCACTCCCCTTGCTCTTTACCTCTGTAATTATGACCTCTAGCTTTCATAATTCCAGATGTTCTGGGACACAAGCTGGAGCACAGAAGGTTTCATCTAAATACAAGGAAGAAATTTTTACTGCGAGGGTGACAGAGCACTGGCACAGGCTGCCTAGAAAGGTTGTGGAGTCTCCATCTTTGGAGATTTTAAAACCCACCTGGATGCATTCCTGTGTGATGTGCTCTAGGCAATCCTGCTTTAACAGGGGGATTGGACTTGATGATCTCTAGAGGTGCCATCCAATTCCAATGATTCTGTGATTCTATGTTATAGAAAGCAGAAAAATAATACTAGTAATTATAACAACACCGGTCACTATAACTAAACAGTATGCAAGGTTAATCAAATTGGTATCACTTTTACACCAAGTGATTGTTAGATTTTGAAATCTATAACAAATAGTTCTCTGGGAAGATGCTGTCGTATTCTTAAATCAAAAGATTCTGCAATAGAAAAAAGTTTAGAAGCTTCTGTATTTAACTTTTCTCTACATCAGAAACATACCTTCTCCTCCATTTCTTTTCTGTATTCTGCTTTCTGTTCTTCTGATGTTATTTCTAGACATGTTTTCTTTTCTGTATTCTGCTTTCTGTTCTTCTTTCAGTTATCACACTGATGTTATTTCTAGACATGATCCTTCCATATTGCTAGAGGCAACACCTGCTGCCTTTTTTAAATCACCTGAAGAATCCATGGACGTCCCGATTCTTTCTGCTTTTTCCACTGTGAATTTTTTTCCCACGAACAAGTGGTCATTAAAAATTTCTTTTGTGTGGCAGGAACACATGATCCAGAACGAGGTATCTATTTTAAGACGAGTCAAGCATCCCAATATTGTACTTCTGATTGAGGAGATGGACATGCCAACTGAGTTGTACCTTGTAATGGAACTTGTAAAGGTGAGTATTTTGGAGACAAGCTGCTTGTTATGAATTGTTTCAACCCTGTTGCTGTTGTTGTTGTTGTTATCAATTGCTTCAACCAATTTCATTGGTGCTAAAGCTTACTAAAAATCATGGAATCGCAGAATAATTTAGATTGGAAGGGGTCTCTGAAGATAGTCTTGTCCAGCACCCTACTGAAAGACATGTAACCTACTGTCAATTTTTTTTTTTTATAACTTTCAAGTATTTCAAATATTTGTCTCACTTTCTGTAAGCCACACTCAGGAGTGCTCTGTGAACTGTACTTAGCAGATCACCAGTTTTATTTGCTTCCCCAAAAGGAGTCTTTTAAAAAAGTTTTACTTTAAAGAAACACGTCTGGCTTGAGGTGAGTTGAAAAAACATCCAGTCTGAATAGATGTAAATACCAGACTTCAGAATTAAATATTCTTTGATAAAATAGAGCTTAACTACTTTTTATTAATTTATGTAGTTTTTATTAATTTATGTCTTTTTTCTCTACTGATCCTTTTTAGCACTTTGTCAGGCTTGACTCCATTATAATAATCTAAATTTAAGCTGTAGCAGGGGGAAAGTAACAGAGAAAGATCTGCTATTTAAAGCATGGTTCTATTCTGAAAAGTAAGTTTGTGAATGCAGTATTTTATATTTGAGGCTCTATTTATTTCTTCATAGTAACTTCCAGATCTCATTCATTTATTTCACTTGCTGGTAGAACTACATATTCGAATTGGTTTATGAAACTCAGAGCAGGTCATCTCTTGCCCTCATACTGTCAACAGTGCAGTGCAAAAAGTATGAATTTAGCTCTCAGTTCTGGTACTAATACACAAGTATGTCACAGTGCATAAAAGGATGGTAAAAATACATTTGAGAAAACTGCTGAGGACATATTGTCGTCCATACTTGCTTTAGCAGGATACACCTGTTTTTCACATTCGCTAATGAAATTAGTGATTCACTTGCCTTCCTCAACTTTTCTATATGAGGGAGATCTTACCAGCAGCCACTTCCATTTCTGTATCTCGATCAGGACATTTTCCTGGAGCAGGTTACCATGCTCACAGCTGGGAAACCCACAGCTTTAAGATTTTTAATGACAAAGATTACAACAAAGCTGTGCAGCAGCAGCATTCCTGTGAAGGCCTATTGTATGTGCATACTGAGCACATGTGAGCAAAAAGCCCTGGCCCTAAGGTCGCTTCTACTTAAGTTGAAAGTGTAGTCACCACAGGTAGACATCCTTTGCCATATCCCTGATTAGAAACAGGCACCACTACAAGTTGTGAGATAAAGTGATTTTGGCAATCAGGATTGTTACCTGCTTTGCTCTGCTTGTAGACAAATGTAGGGGACACTCTTAATGCAGGCACTTCATTGAGATGTTAGATAGGATGATCCCAGGTCCAAGTGAGAGCAAGGAAAATGACAATTTTTTGTTTCCTTCCATTATCCCCCATGCTCTGTGGCATCAGTGGAGCCAGAGGGATCTAGACAGGCTGGATCTAGACGGCCAATTACTCATTTCAGTAAGGCCAAATGTCGGGTCCTGCACTTTGGCCACAACCCCCAGCAGCGCTACAGGCTTGGGGAGGAGTGGCTGGAGAGCTGCCAGGCAGAGAGGGACCTGGGGGTGTGGATGGACAGCCGCCTGAACATGAGCCAGCAGTGTGCCCAGGGGGCCAAGAAGGCCAATGGCAACCTGGCCTGTGTCAGGAACGGTGTGGCCAGCAGGAGCAGGGAGGTGATCATGCCCCTGTACTCGGCTTTGGTGAGACCATGCCTCGAGTACTCTGCCCAGTTTTGGGCCCCTCACTACAAGGGGAAACGGCCTGAAGTTGTTCCAGGAGAGGTTCAGGTTGGATATTAGGAAGAATTTCTTTACTAAGAGGGTTGTCAGCCATTGGAACAGGCTGCCCAGGGAGGTGGTTGAGTCGCCATCCCCAGAGATGTTTAAGAGACAGGTAGATGTTGTAGTGAGGGACATGGTTTACTGGTGTTAATAGAGCTAGGGCAAAGTTTGGACTCTTGAAAGTATCTTCCAATCAAAACTGTTCTTTGATTCTATGATATCTAAGCCGTGTTCCCAGTTCAGAACCGAAGGCTGTCAAGTGTGGCGCATGAGTGGGTGGCTACAGATTTTCATAGAATCATAGAGAAAGATTTGGGTTGGAAAGGACCTTAAAGATCATCTAGTTCCAACACCCCTGCCATAGGCAGGGACATCTCCCACTAGACCAGGTTGTACAAAACCCATCCAACTTGGCTTGAACACTTCCAGGGAGGGGATATCCACAACTTCCCTGGGTAACCTGTTTCAGTGTTTCACCACCCTCACAGGGACATTTTCCCTGTCCTTGTGGCAGGCTGGGACCAGCTCAGGCTAAGAAGCTCAGGTCATGGAGCACAGCTTAGGAGATGGCAGCATTGTCCTCTTAGGTTTGAGCCTGCCAGATGCCCTACTTCGCTTGAGTAGTGTGATGGACCTTGTTAACCCTTTTGCCCCTGCTAACCCTACTGTCCACAACCTCCAAGCTCTGAGGAAGCACACTGGGATGTGCTGATGTCAGGGAGCTGACAGGGTACCAAGCATCCCCGTTTTGTCTCTAGTGGAGAGGTTAAATGCTAAGACAAAAGCAAAATACTGGCACTCTTCTGTACCATGAATACCTCTGCGTAACCTTTCCCGTAAGAATTTCCCCACCTTCTTCGTGGTTGCAGACTCCCCTTACTCAGGAGTAAGATGTGAAATAGCACAGCTTCAGATCAGATGCCATTAGCCATCTAACACTATTTTAATCATAATTACTGCTCATTACTATAAGTGGTCTCACTCTGAGATCCACGCTGTAGGTTTTTCCCAGTGACTGTGAGAGCTTGTTCAAAGGTACCTCAATACTCTTGCACAGCGTTGTAATCGAATGTAGCCACAGCTTCAGCCTGCATTGACAAATCCTTCATCTTGGCCCCATGAGGCATGCTAAGAAGTAAAAGCTGTGCCTTGTCTAACATGCCAAGACATAAGCACATAGCTGTTTTATGGGTGCAACCTGCTGTGCTATTCATGCTTGAAAAATATTCAAACTGTAGTCTCCAGTGGATTTTTAATCAAAGTCCTACTCAGCTAAATTAGAGAGGAGGGGACCAACAACTCTCACAGAATAACTATCCTAAAAGATGTATATAAAGAAAACCAGCCATTATAGTAATTTTCTGCAAAAATCTTTTTTTCGTGCACTCTTTCTTCTTTACTCCTTAGGACTGCTGCACATACTAAGATATTTATGCTTTTAGTTACGCTATAGAGAAAGGCTTTCTAGATGTCTCTGTAGTTCAGAGAGCACTGTTTTAATGATCTTTACTTTTATGTGCAATAATAGAAGACATTTAGAAGAAATAACCTGATGCTAGGAAGTCAGCTTTGTTTCTTTGAAGCAAGCATCTATTCCTATTTAATCGGAAAAAAAACCCAACACACCTTGTTTTACTCTGTGGGCACTGGAGAAGGTATTTCTGGAAAGACATTAATTGTTAATTCACCAGTTGCTGACTGTTACCATTTCATAGCATGCACTGTTAGAATTGATTAACCATCTGTTATTGACTGACTTCTGAAGACCTGACTTTAAATCAAACTCACAGACAGGAAAGAAATTCAAGGAGAAAAGGCTTGATGCTGCAGAGCACGGTTTCACTTAATACCACCCTGCATTAATTGGCAGTAACATGTTTGACATAAGTGGCTGCTGCAAATACTGCCCTCACCTCATGGCAGATTGGCCATTCATTGCTTTGTAAAGTGTAAGAAAAAGCACTTCATAAATACAAATATAAACACATTGCAAGTGGTGCTTGTAAAAGGAAGCAAGGACCTGGTTTCTGGCACGTTGCCTTTTTACACAACGAAACAGAATTGTTATTCAAACCTAACAGGGGTTTGGCCAATTTAACAAGCAAGATTTATTGCAGAGTTCCCTTTACTGCTCCAGGATATGATTTCACTTTTGCAGAAGAAAAGAGAGATTATATCATTTACATAACAAGGTAATAAATAAATAAATGGTCGCTGTACTTCCAAGTATACTTCCTCATGTGCGTAGATGATAAAAACTGCATTCAGATGTTGCTGGTCCCATTTCACTCCAGAAGAGGGGATTTAAGACTGAAATGTCATCCTGAACTCACTCCTTGTGCCTGAATAAATGATAGTGACCTGCTGTGTGAATCGGCTAAGCAGAACCTTGCAGGTTAAAGTGCTCTTCAGGGAAAGGGAAGTCTGAAAACAATTCTGCCTGATACAGCTGTCAGCTCTGTTAACTCTTTCCAGGATATCACCTCTCTCTTAACCTCAGAGAATCCCACAGACTAAATATATGCTCTCTGTTCTTTACCTGGTAAAAAACTTGACTGAGTGAAGCAGGCTGCTTAAACAGAGAAAGTTATTTTGCTTCAGATTGGCTTGACCATCTGTTAATATGCTCTGCAGCCTCTACCTTTTTCTGAGTTTAGGTTTCTCTTGTGCATGAACATTTCTTCTTTTTCGTTAGACTTTCAGACAAAATTTTCCCTTCTCTTTTTCAGGTTCAATTTCTTTCCTTCTTGCCTCTCGTATCTCAGCTTGGACTATTTTCTTTGTATGGAGGCAGATCCTTTGCTGATGTTATTGACACTTCTCCTGAGCATCTGGAACATATTAGATAAGACCAAAGATCTGTCTAATCCACTACCTCATGTTAAAAAGCAGCTGGTACAGGGGCTTCACAGGAAGGAGCTTAGGGAAGATAGATTATTTATCCCACATATTTTGCCACATTATGCCACTTAGGGATCAGATAATGCCATGAAGTACATGGTATTGTACTTTTGCCAAATATTTTGCCTTTTTCTCTAATCCTTTTTCTGGTTTAGCCTGGCCTTTTATCCCTCCTTTTCCTTGATGCTGTGTATCTTGATGTATCTTTATCAGTTACTAGCCAGAGCAAGAGGTTTTGATGTGGTCCAGGTTTGAAAATGGTTGACTGCAAGCAGTTTCCAAAGCTGTTTTTTTAACAGACTTCAGCTGTACCTCAGCAATGAAAAAATGTTAATGTCTTGTTTGGGTTTTTTTAATAAGTCTGGTTTTTTAATGTCTGTTTTCTCAGGTTTGAGTCTTTGTTGTTATCTTTTCCTAACTTTTCTCTATAGCTGTGATTCCTGTAAAAATTCTTTTTTTTTCCCCCCTCTCCTCTTTTGTCTTAATGAAAAGAGTGTTTACTCTGGAGCTGAGCCTTAAAAAACCCCAGCAAAAAACTTGAGGCTGTTGATAAAATCACGAGAGTTGGCAAAGTTGGGACTCCTCTGTTGCCTTCAGGAAATACCTAGTTTTTCTTTAAAACACAGTCTTATGTGATTGTTTTTTCTTGATGTTTTGACTGCAGCAGGGATTTTTTGCATTGTTTTATCCGAATTATCCTTTCCCTTCTCTCTCTCTTTTTTGTGTGTGTGTGTTGGTCTGTGTTTTCTTTATGGTGCTGCTTTAATTTTGGCCAAAGGCCCGATACCTCTGAGTAGTATCTCTCAAAAGATGTTTAGTTTTAGCTCCACTCTGTCAAGCTTCCTCCTTAATCTCTTCTTTAAACCTATACTTTGGTCGTTCTCCAAGCACTTACGTGTTCTTCTTCCCACTTACCAGCTCAGCCCTGGAAATACAGTCCAAATGACGTGACTGCCTCAGATCTTGGTGAAGACTGTTTGAATTTTGAGGACTTCCACTTAACCAACCTTCCTTGCTTCCTTCTTTCCTTCCTTCCTTCGTCCCTTCCTTCTTCCCTCCCTTCCCTTCCTTCTTTTCCTTCCTTTCCTTACTTTCCTTCCTTCCTTCCTTTCTTCAGCATGATGAGCCGGAAATGGCACAAGCTGCCATCTATATTTTTTGCTGTGGTGAAATACTAATGTTAATTCTTAATTGACTTCTACTTTGATTTTCTGACACATTCTGGGAAGTTTTTCAGCATTAGCTATGAGAAGCATCACACCACTAAAAAAAACTTCACATCTTTTGTAGAGAAAGTAGCTTCTAAAATCCACATTTTCAAAGTTTTGTGAGATGGAAACAAACTTTTTAAATATGCTAACAGTAATGGTAGGTAGCTGATTTGAGTTCCTTCATCTTTCTGGAGTTCAGTCAGGCTTCAGGCAAAAATTTGATGTCAGCGTGTTTGTGATTATAATAAAGAGTGGCAAGGGCTGGTATGCAGCGTGATGACTGGTAAGTATACAAGCATACCAAAAATGTGCAACAGGGCTCTGAACACAGGTTGCCAAGTGCTGGATATGTTACAAAAGAAGCAGCAGGTGGGAATGTTTTGCAGGAGAGACTTGGGCCTCTTGGCTGACCAGCTAAGCCACAAGAAGTGGTTCTGAATTACTGCTGCCATTATGGGGGATGTCATTGCAATACCTATGGTTTATAGCTACAAGAAAATTGTGCTGCTCCTCCCTTCTCCTCCTCCATAAATGATGCTCTTTGATTTCCCCTAAAGTTTTTCAGTCATTTCACAGTCAGTATTGCTCATATGCCGTGGTCATTTTACTCCAGGGAGGAGATCTTTTTGATGCTATTACTTCCACCAACAAATACACAGAGCGGGATGCCAGTGGGATGCTTTACAATCTGGCCAGTGCCATCAAATATCTTCACAGCCTGAACATTGTCCACAGGGATATCAAGCCGGAGAATCTACTGGTAAGTGAAGATTCAGCTTTTGGTACTGTTGATATCTTGAGAGCGTGTGAGACAAGGTCTGTGCTTCTCCCTCCTTGCAAACACCTGCCAAATTTATTTCAGTCATTCAAGTTGTCTTTTAATTTCAACCTTAGCATTGTAAAGCTCTCCTAAGAATAATAGCTGTCACAATGAAGTATAGTGACATCAGATGGTGTGTCTAGACTGTTGCCCAGGACACAGCAGCAGAGTTGTTCCAGTGATCACCAGAAGTGACCTTTTGGTAAGATGCAGTATAATTTCAAGCTTCTCATAAATACAAAGCTGTTCTGTCCTCAATAGACTATTCTGTATTTCTGCAGCTGCCTAAGTAATTAGCGGCAGTTCAGTTTTACAAGCATGGTGGGTGTAAGTGTTATGTCCTCATCATGTAGGACATCAGAGGATAACCAGGAAAAGATTTCAGTGTCCTTCGTTTCCCTGCTGCAGCTCCCAAATATTCCTATAGCAGTTTTTCTTGAGCCACTTTCACAAATAGCCTAAATCTTTCTTTTCCTGACTGAATCTGTATAAGCCTCATCGACTGAAGACACTGACAAACATACCCTTGGAATTAGTCCTTCTTCTGAGAATTTTGCGCTCTGTAGTAATTGTCTTCTCCAACTGATATAGTTTTATTTTTTCTGTGAAATTAATTTTTCCTGATTATTGCTTTGTTTTCCCAAGTTTACTGACATGTGCCAATAGCAGGATGTCCCAATTCTCCATATATTCTGCAACCATAAAACAATGTTTAAGATAGCTAGAATATCAGTTCTCTCGTTTGTGTGCTCTCTTCTGAGACTTAGTGCATTTAGTCCTGCTTGACACTGAAAAGTTTTTATGTAAAAGTTGACTGAAGTAGATATTATTAAACTTCCAGAGAGTGGGATTTTCACAGTTGAGGTTCCTCTAGTGGCAGGTGCCTTTATAGTTCTGGTTGAGGAAGTGAGCCTGCCCTTATTTTCCAGAAACTGCTAAAAGCATGTTCGGTAGAAGTTTCAGTAGACACTAATGATTGATACTTCTTTTGCAGCCCTTGTGCTGGTGAAAGGTTTGCTGAATGCAGAAATTAGAGCAATCAATGCCAGAATTCATTAAGGCTGTGATTTGGAGTGTGCAGGAGGGTCTTGGTCTGGAGCAAGGCTTGCTCTGCTTCACTCTTGACCTAACTCTAAATGCCTAAAGTCTGGGTTTAGTAGAGTTAAGCTTCTGAAGGAACGGAAAACAGGTAGGCAGGAGATGGAGACAACAGGGAGAGGATTAGATTTGCCTGCCCAGCCCTCCTCAGTAATTACCCACTACTAGGTATGGTCACGCTGCATTGTATCTGAAATGTTTCTGAGTGAATATGTAAAAGTCCTACACCAGTACTGATACTGAGCAGTAAGGATGCAACATAACCTGTTGCAGCATCCTAACTCTCAAAAGCTAGCATTTGATTCACGGATTATATTAATTTTCTAAGGTTTATCAGGTCCTTGAAAGAAATGAATGCAGTTTTGAAAGAGTACTTTGGAACCAGCCTTACCTAAGTTCTGACTTGATCTCTGGCTGTCTGTGGCCTTAGTATCTCTTAACCTCTCTACTTTTATCTTCTTATCTGTCAAATGGGATGGGTAATGTCTTGTATCACAAGGTTGCAGTTAAGGTTATTGTTGTGGCATTTATAAAACACTTGCAAAATGCCGTATGGGTGTCAGCTTTTCTATAGGTAAAGACATTCCGCCTGCCTTCTGTAGCCTGCCTTTTACTTGCAGCTCTGTAACCATTCACTTAAACGGTGAAAATACTGCTATTTTCCCCTTGTTCTTGTGCTGTTGTGCTTTCACGCTGGTACTGTCATGACCTTACACCTGCAAACCCCAGCAGTGTTGTTAAAGCAGGTTCTCCTGTCCACCAGTATGAGAATCAGCCCTTTGCCATCACCCTTTTCCTACCTGTGGGTTGTAGCTTTAGTTTAAGGGACGCTATAACATGCCTGTCCAAAATGGAGCAACTATCCAAGGGGGCAGCATCTGCCCTGATCAGGGTATCGTAATACATGCCTCCAAAGCTAACAGCCCGATTAGCAGGAAAAAAACAAGAAGTATGAGCAAGTCCTGATAAAAGCTATAGAACTACTACAGGGAAGGTATGGGGAGTGAAGGGGAACGTGCTGCTCTGGAGAGGGAGCCCAGAGGAGGATGGTCATCTTGACCTTCCTCATTGCTCCCAGGAGAGCTTTCCCTTTCACCTCCCTCGTTCTCTCCTTTGGATTTTCCTTTTTCCCAGAAGTAACTTTCAGACTTACGCTGATGTGTGCCATCAGCTATAGACCCTGCTGATAAATCTTTGTGTGTGTGGACCTGTCTCGACAGCCTCTGTACAACATCAGTTATTTCTATAAATGCTTAAATATTCCTTTCTAACCTTGAGGCATGCAAAGCCCACCTAACAGTCAGCTGTCCAAAAGTTTAGGGTATGCTGAACACCTGTGATTTTTTGGCATTTTTTTTGCTCTCAGGAGAGTGTCTGCCATGTTTTAATTGGAACATTTTTCATAATTGCTGCTATTTAACGCATTTAATTTGTCAAGTCATGGGATGTCTTTATTGCCATATAATAAACCCTGGAGAACAACTTCTCTGACTGTTGCCATCTGCACTGATCACAAGAGCAGCTTAGAAAATACTGACAGTCTTTATAGTAATAGGATACATATGGTGGCACACAATTATGTGTGGCTGCATTCAATTAGTGTTGTACAATTACACAGTTTTATTGCTTAGTTAAAACAGTGAAAGCACTACATAGCGGGTAATTTGCACTAATCCCCATTTCTTTAATTGCCCTTCAGTATTTAAATGCAGTGGAACATGTATAGTTTTTGTTCTGAATAACATGAGTGTTAAATTATCTTCTACATTCCTCAACTGGCAAGTAATGTACATACAGCTCCATACTGGGCTCCTTTTTACATGGAGATATAATAGGGTGAAGAAAAAGTTACTTTCTTCAGTTTTACAAGTCAACTGAAGTAGTTTTCCAAGGAAAGTAATTCCTGGAAACAGATGGGGCAAAATATTAGAAAAGGCACAGTACCAAACCTTTTGCATTGGTAAATATTGCCAAATAAGCCTCTTCCATAATTATTTTCTAGTATATATGAGTTGTACAAGGTGCCATTTCTTGAAGGAAGGAACTTAGGAGTGTTCACTAGGTTAACACAACTCAGAGAGGGCTTTGTAAAAGATAACTGCATGAAGTAGAGTATGAGATGCTAATTAGACTGGATTCAGCTCTTGATGTCTAAATGCACACTTTACATTTTTCAGCAACTGAATATTTAAAGCTCCAGTCTCTACTCTTTAATTAAAACTGTTGTTGAAATTAGATTTATTACTGCCATTTCAGAGAGCACTTTCTTTAGTTTCAGGAACCAGATGTATTTAACAATCTGTGTTTTTAATAAAACCATAATTGCTTTTCTTCCAGTGCTTTTCTGTAAGCCTATCTTTTTTTTTTTTTTTTTTCTGGCTTAGTAGCAGAGAAATGTGAATCCATATCAAATTGCTGGTCCTTGTAAAAAAAAATTGTAAAATTTAAGATAACATAAGGAAAGGAATTTTGTGTATTCTGAATGTTTGTTTGTAGGTCTATCGACTGGTAGCAGGGATTCAGGACAGAGAGGGGTTTTCCCTCTAGACCTGACTAACATTACCAAAGTAAAAACTGGGGCAGAATGAATAATATAACTGATTATTCTGAACTATAGCAGGTCTGTAGCAAACAGTGAACTGATCAAGGATCCATTGAAGAATTTATTATATTTTCATAAGAAAAAAAAATAGGATTTTCCTCTGCAAACAGTTGTAGGTAGACGTGATTTCTGATGTAGAAGTAGCTGGTCAAGGTGAGTATTAAGGATGCTTTTAGTTTTGATTGTGAATTATGATATCTTTATTCTTGCACAGTGTTACTGCTAGTTATTGTCAGGATATTGCTATTGGTAAGCCAGACTGCATGGAGCTGTGAATAATAAAGTGATGCATATATACTGTAAGAAGACCTCTTGTAGGCTGTTTCCATTTTTTAAGGTGCTGTTGTGGTAAACAACATTAAATTGCATCATAAACAATTTCAGACTGGGAAGCAAGAGCCCAACCAGCAGATGGATTAAAGAAAGACTTGCAGTCTAGTGTTTAGTACAGACACATTTTAGTCCTTTTATTTTAAACACTTTTATAAGCTTTCAGTGTTTGCAGGTTTAGGAATGTTCTTTTGCATTGAGCCAGCTTTTACACTTGTGCATTTTTAACTGATGTTTCTAGCTTTTTGTCTTGCACCCATCGATACTCATGAAAGCTTATGTTGCTGCTGTGAAGACCATGTTTTAAGACGTATTTTCATATATACTCATTAACAGGCCTACCTATGTCCGTTGATGATGATGGTAAGATACCACTGAGAAGTATCTCAGTGACTGACTCATGCTTAATATCATCTAAGGAGAGGACAGTGCTTCTAGATGAACGAGCCCAGCTGGGTTTGCATCTAGTGACTTCCACAGACAGAGAGGAATCTGTTGCTGCTATTAGCGCAGTCAGTGTTGTATCATCTAAGTTGAAATTTCCGTGCAAGCCTTTAAGCTCTGTGCAAGTGAAGTGAATAAACTACGCTGTGAATTGGCTGTCAGTGGGAGTTAACCTAGGACCATCTCTGCTGGAAGGTCTAAGTTTTGCTTCTGGGCTTTAGCTTCTAGCAAGTAGCATGTCCTTTCTTGGCCAGGTAGCAAGGTAAGTCTTTTCCAGACACGCAGAGTGCATTCAGGGGAAGTTGCTCAAATTATCTGTGAAAGTTTAAAGCCTGCAAAGAAGTACGTTGTAGGTAAGGAAGAGGAAAAAAGACTTTAAATTAGAAAGAGCATTTCACACAGTTAGTAAATGATAGAGTAGTTACCTTGATGGCATTGTGCTAAACCTTGGAATTTTCCTCCTGATTTAGGTTTATGAACACCAGGATGGAAGCAAGTCCCTGAAGCTAGGAGACTTTGGCCTAGCAACAATTGTGGATGGACCTCTATATACTGTTTGCGGGACCCCAACATATGTAGCTCCAGAAATCATTGCTGAAACTGGGTAAATCAATTCTAGTGATGATTCATTGGTGATTCAGTGTACACAGTGGAGCATGTTCTTGCCAATATGCCAGACAGGAGTACTTTCTGTTAAGATTTTTATGCTGCCTTTGCTTGGGTATGATGCAGAATCATGACTCACAGGACAATTTATTTGGAAGGGACCTCTGGAGGCTATATTGTCCAAACCAGCTCAGGACCTGCTTTGACATTATATCAGATCCCTCTGCCAGTTGTTGGCCCCAAACCCCTCAGCTTAACACTGAGTTACTAACTAGCCATTTGCAGACACAAGAAAAGTAATTCTTAAGCTGTCCCCAAAGACTGTTAATTACCATTCACTTAACTTTTTCGTTGCCACACACTGTCCTGTTCTTCTGGTTTGTTCCACGGAGTAAATGCCTGCTGGCTTGAGCAGCCAGTCTCACCTTTGCAGGCTACATGTTGGTAGGCATCACTGTCTGTGTCAAGAATACGGCACAACATCTGTGCACTCCTACATTCTGATCTAATGCAGTTTTAAGATGTAAATGTAAAAAAATATTTGAAAGCAGAATTAGGATAAGTAGATGAGACATAGAGAAAGTTCAGATGAGAATATATAAGAAATTATTAATAATTCTCAAAATGTTTCCTCTGTTCTTGTACTGTAGCTCATAGGAGTCAGATATCTCTAACCATGTCTCTCACACTTCTAGATATGGCTTGAAGGTGGACATCTGGGCAGCGGGCGTGATTACTTACATCCTGCTCTGTGGTTTTCCTCCATTCCGTGGGTATGGACTGATCTATTAACCATCTTTGTTCTGTGATTTGGCCCCTGTGCTGCTTTTGCATTAAGCACAGAGATTCCCATTGGAAAAAGTTCTCTGCTTGTAGGGCTTGTGTTTTTTTTTTCCCATGCTCCACATAGTAATTTCCACAAACTCCGTAAATATCTGTGATTTTACTGTGAAATTTCTGTCTCATGATTGTTTATTTTAGTTTAAACTTCATTGCATTACAAAACAAGAGCCTCCATTACGGGTTTTGGGTGCCTTTGCCTCATGTTTAAATTACACAGTGAAGTAAGCATCGTCTTTCATGGACCAAACATATTTTGTGGTCACTAAAAGGTAGTTAAAATGTAAGCCACTTAATACAGATGTCAGATCTTTTCTCTCCCTGAAAGCAGCTCCAAAGTTGTAGAAAATCCTAAAGATGTGTGGGTTACCTCAGAAAGAAAGTACCAAAGGCACTTCATTTTATGATCTCATGATTGACACCCATGGTTGCATGCTTGGGGAGAAATCTGCGGCTCCCAAAAGCATACTAGGGGATTAGCACTTAAAAGCAACTTCAAGAATCCTATTGAAACCAGCTCTGGAAATATTTTTTGTGTGTTTTTTGTTGTTGTTCTTGTTTGATTTTTACTTTACAGAAGTGGAGACGACCAAGAAGTGCTTTTTGATCAGATTTTGATGGGGCAGGTGGATTTTCCATCTCCATATTGGGACAATGTTTCTGACTCCGCAAAGGTGGGATTTATAGTTGACGGTACTTTCTTCTCCAATACTACTTCCAGCATCAGTATCTAATGCATCTTGTTCTGTGACAGTGCTATATTTGACATGTTTCACACATCTCCAGCTACACCTATAAATTCCTCTGGGTCACCAAGTATGTTGTTGTTTGATCACTGTCTGTCTGTTATACTCCAGGTGGTTCAGAAATGGACCCCATCTCTATAGGATATCTCACACAACAGGGACACCAGCAGTCCTTGCTGATCAAGAAAAATTTTAAGTAACTTTGCTTGACCTACACATTTTCCTTGAAAGCTCCCTGGGACTGTGCTTTATTTGCACTTTTGATGGGGACCAGGTACCAACCTGGAGCCTTTGAATTTTATATAATAATATTACAGGGAGGCTGTTTTCCCCTTATTAATCCCATTAGATGATATGTCTGTTGTTTCTTTCTGTCAAAGAGCCAGGATTCACATTGCCTGTAAATCTTTATTGTTGTCAGTGTGGTATGAGGTACGGACTTGATCTGGCCACCAGTTCATGGGCCATAGCCTCTTGGCATGGGACACAAAGGAGATAGAGCCTGAGGTGTGCTAAGGCAAATACAATCCTTTTCAGATACAGATCCTGACAGAGTTCATCATACTTGCAGAGCATGTCCAGTTTTTTAACTCTCACTAGTGCACTGGAGCAACATTTTAACTCATAATTTTTTTAGGGATCTGTCATTCGCTGTAGTCATGTATATAAATATATAGAGATAATACATATGTGTATGTAAACAAAAAAAAACAAACCATAAAACTGTTCATGTAGTCATCTTGTAGATAAGTGCTTCATTTCTGACAGTTTACTTGTGGAGCCTATGAAGCAAATTCAGGCAAAATTGTCTTCCTGTTTCTTTCATTGTAACAGTGTTTGATTAATCACACAAAACCACCGAAATTTGGAGGTGGATGCATGTAATGAGAGCAGAATTCTATAGTTTGAATCTCCATTCTTCAGAAGGTTACATCTTGCTTTTACAGATGACAAAGGTGATCAGGACTAGTATTGTAGCCCGTCACCTAATGAGTTTAATGAACGAAATACAGACATAGAGTTGGAAAAAGTCCTCTAAACCACATCATTGTGTTGTATCAGGTTTTATTTTGTAGCATCATTAATTAGAACCCTGCAAGTCATTTGCCAGTGGTGTTCTGTGAAACTCCTTACAAATAGTTCAGTCTAAAATTTCTGGTTTAAAGCATTAGCCTATTCATTTAGCTTCTCCTTGTCTCTAAGAATTATTAACTTTGGTCTTTGGTGATACCACTTTATTTGCTGTCACACTGACATCCTGTTTTCTCTGCGCTCCGCTCACTGGTGGAATTATATATATTTTTGTTTACATGCTAGTTGAAAACTAGGTAATTGCAGAGGAAATCAGAGGGAAAATAATGGTTTAAAGTGGCTTTTTTTAATATCTCCTATGTCATTTTTACAAGAGCTTAAAGTAAAAATCTACATTTACTGGCTTTTTTCCTACAGAGGAATTGGCTTTTTCTTAATGGGAAGCTAACCTAATTTCATGCGACCATCTGTTTTGTACATTATGTATTAAGTGCTTTTCTCTTAAACAGTGGCTACACAACTGTAACTCAGAACTGTCTTCTAGCTTTTCAAGGTACTCTTAGACATTAATTTAAAAGTTCAGCTTGAAGTTCAGCAGTTCATAGTGGTTCTTTATTTTCAATAATCCTAAATATATTTCTGCAGTTGGTATTTCACTCTCTCTTTGAGCACTCTTACATAATCAGTTGAAGAGCACTTTACTGATTTTGTTCTTTAAAGAATATTCTTTACATTTGACCCCGTATTCCATTTCTCAGGAACTTATCACAATGATGCTTCAAGTAGATGTAGATCTGCGATTCTCAGCCTTGCAAGTTCTTGAGCATCCATGGGTTAATGTAAGTATTTTGGGGCTTGCAGAGGCTTCTTGTAATTTGGCACCTTCGAGCTCTTTTCTGTCAATTCCTTTCTTTGCCCTTTTGAGCCAGCACATTCTAAAAATGCTACAGATTTAACTGGAAATGAGCTGGGTTACAGGCTGTTTTATTATATTATGCGTACCTTGGAGTATTCACTGTTTTATGCATGCTCAGCTACATTTTCTCTGAAATATTTTGGGCCAGGTTTTCAACAATTCTCAATTGCACTTGACAAATTTATACCCCTAACAATCAGCTTGTGGGTTCAGCGACACATTTTGCTCTCCTAAATTCAGATGGACTCAAAAATCTGACAGTCATGGTTAAGAGCTATTGAAATATAGTCCATGGCGTTAATCCGACTTGATCCAACATAAAACAGGGAAGCCTTTAAAATTGTATTTAGCTTCTGATATTGAAATATGCATCTGTTTATGTGCAACCATATCCATTTAATCTGAGATGATTACTATTTATGTATCCTGGCTTGTCTCTGAATGACTGGACATTTGCCATAGAAGTGGTCATCAGTGAGGTGGCATATGGGTAAATCTGGCAGAGAATAAAGAAATTTCCCTTTAATTAATGCTGAGGCAAGGACAGTACTTAATATTTTTAATTATTTCAGACTATTTAATATGTCTTAAAATATTTGGATGATAAGAAGGAAAAAAAATGGAGAAAATCTAGATTCAAATTCAGAATAGAAGATTGAGAAAAGAAATACAATTGGGACAAGCAGAGACAAAAAGTTAAAGCAAGAAGAAGTAATACTTTGTTTTGTTTGTTTCAAGTTAGAGTCTGTGCAGTCCTCTGTGGAATACTGTTTGGTCCCTCAGCTGCTCTGTCCAAAATCTTTTTCTCACTAAAACACTATTCTAAAAATTCAAATGTACAGTAACCTCAAACATTAATATTTTTTAAGAAAGTCCTCAATATAGCCAAGACGAGCGGTGGTCATCGGTTAAGTGTCTGCCAAGTATGTACTTTAGTCTTGGAGGCCTCCTTATTACCCAAGCCATTTTGAAAAAAAAAATTATAAATGCTATTACCATGCAGAGCACTTCTGCAGTGTAAAAAGAGTGCAGGGATCCAGGACAACATCTGATGAAAATATTTTCATTTTTAAGATAGCATTCAAGCGGCTGAAATATTCATTTTCCTTGGTGCCAGGTGCTGTCTTTGGACATAGTGTTCTGTCACAGTTTATAGTCCCTCTTGGTGACTGAGGTGTCTCTCCGTCTCCATGGGAGGAGGACGGGTGGGGGTTTCTGGAGTGCTGCTGAGGAAAGGATGGAAGTGGCGGATCAGAAGCCGCAGGGAGGGCAGATCACCCGCGGTGTCAGTCTGCACACTGCTGCTGAGGTTACTGAAACATCACTTCTTTACACCACAGAAGGATGTGGTCATTGATCTTCCTCTCTTTCTGAAAAATTTATTTGAATTGTTTTTCGGAACTCTGTTTTAGGAAACCATTTTAGTGAGATGTATTAAGAAGAAGAGGTGCAGCTCTTTATCAGTAACGTGATGGTGATGGTGTGCGGGTGATGTGTGAGACTGTTCCCTGCCCTCACCAGTGCCTGCTGATGGGGAGGGACAGGGAAAGGGACTCAGGGCTAAAGTCTTTGGGTACTCCAGAGCTCAACTGACCAAACCTGAGCTCTGGTTACTGAAGCATCCTGGCAAATTCCTGGACTTGTGCACAGTAAGTTAAAATGGTGAGCCCTTTGCCAGGAGATGCTGCGGAGGCCAAGTATAAATGGATTCAAAAGCAAGTTTGATGTGTTTTTGTAGGATAGGTCCATTGGTGCCTGTTAAATTTGGTGGTCTGGACACAACTCTTGGCTCACGAGGTTCTGAAGTACTTGGCTGGTAAAAACTGGAGGATACACTAGGGAAAGTTCAAGATCTACTTATTTTCTTTAAATGTACTATTTCACAAACAGCGACTACGATGCACTCTTGGAAATAAGATACTGTGTTCAGTTTACCTTTGGTCTAGCTCTGCTGCACTTCTCATAGTTTTATGCTGATTATAATTCTTTGCAATCAAAACCTGTAGCAGTTCTGTCCAAAAATAGTGAAACAAAATGTTCCATGACAGTTCTGTAATTCTTTTCTGTTCAGTTGCTGCTTTTAGCAACTGAGACGAATCAGTATTTTGTCTTGAGGAATACGCTAAGGATAGTTCATGATGCAGATCAAAACCTCTTTTGAATTCTCTTATGCATCCTGCAGATGTTTTGTTTTTTTTTTCCAGAAGGAGAAAGCCCAGCACTGGGACCAGTTCAGGAAAGTGCTTGAGCACATTCCAAACATCGCTCCAATTTCAAGACATCACACATGGAAGTGCTTAGCATTAGGCATAAAATTAACTAGATGGCACTAAAATCCTAGTTCTCTTTGGGAGAAATAAGAACATGGCTGAGTTGAAGCAGGTGCTTGAATGCTTTTGTGAAAAAGGGCACCTCCCTGAAGTGGGTCTAAGAAGTGTGCAGGAAATAGCCTGGCACGGACAGGCCACTTGGGTACAGAGGCAGAATGGTACCTGGTGTCAGATCCAGCCTCGCATCCCCATACTATTACATACTTGACCAGCTGCAAGTCTGTCATGAAGCCTCCCTCATTTTCCCAGCTTCAGGACAAGGAATTAATATACTCATCTCTGTTTATAAAAGGCTTTGCAATCTAGGTGTTGGAATTACCTAGGCAATTATCTGCAACTTTCATAAAATACTGTCTTTCTAAGAAGAAATGGCACATGGAGTTTTCACCTAACACTTCGTTTCCCCAGGTGACCTGTTTAAACACTTTTACATGGCATCAGTGCTGGACTTCACTTCCCCTTCTCTTGATTTGATTTTGAACTTATTCATAGAGTGGTAAACTTGCAGCTACAGAACCAGACAGGACAGCTGCCTTGAAAAGCAAGCATGTGTTCTCTTCAGCAATTTTAAGAAACATTTTCTCTCTTTGATCAAACCTTTGATAGAAGCGTTGTTACTGCTTACACTGTATAAAACCATTTTGTAGATTGTAAATAACCATTCTACTTTATAGCTGCTTACTGTATGATTACTTGGTAAATTGCTGAGATTCCTGGAATGTGCTTTGACGGTTTCAGTAGGAGCCAGCCCTCATTTCAGTTTCAGTTTTTGCTATAAAAATAGCTGGAATCCTTTTGGAAACTGCAAAACTTGTTATGGTCAGAGTCAGACCAGTAAAGCAGTTCCTATGTCAATAATATCCCAGCTGTTTTCAATTCAAAAAAACAGAACCTGAAAAGACGTTGGCTATATGCCACTGCCACAGATGGAGATCTTGAATTCTAAATGCAGTTCAGCAGCAGTTCCTTGCCCCCTCCATTTAGTTTATTTGGATTTGTCTCTCCTATGCAGTACACTTAGACCTGGAAACAAATCCATCAATTTATACTTCCCCAACAGGGACCTCAGCTCTTTCCTTTACCTGCTCAATTTTTCTTTTGCAAAACTGTAGAATTATAAAAGAGACTGGAAGCTTGAGGCCTGGCATTTTAAACATTGGTGCTATTGATAACCAGAATTGGACTATACAAGTTACAGGACAAATCTACTCTCTTTTTGTCATATAAGTAGTAAATATTTGCTAATACAGCACTGAGCAGTGAATACTGAAACAAATGGATTGCATTCTGTAAATCCTTCTCTGTTAAAATAATCAATAAAAAATGTGTTGTGTTGTTGCTGGAGGAGGAAGATGGCACACACGAGCCTGAAAAGAATTGGGGAAACTGGAGCTTTTACATATTTCCTTAACCATGTCTGCTTTGGAAATTTTTGTACGAAAGAAATGAATAGCCAAGCAGTAAATAGTAATAAACTGAACATTTGTAAGGAGGCTAATTTAAAAAGACATTTCTTATTTGGCAGCTGCACTGCTTCTGGTTACACCCTAAGACACTTTCCAAAGAAAAAATTTTCTTGTAATCCTTAAAGAAAACAGAGTCCAAAAGCTTTTCCAGCACTACTATTTGCTCTAATTTCTTGCTGTTATTTATATAGTGACCTATTCATCTGATGTTTTTAGACCTGGAAAGTAAAGTTCTTGTGACCAGCTTGTGAAATGGATGACTGTTTCAGGGCATTCTGGGAATCCTGAACTTTGTTCCATCTTTTTAATACTTCTTTTTTGTTTGAGTGGAAATATCTTCTGCCACAGAGAACAATGCAAATGCACAAACAGTGTTTATTGATTAGCTGATGCCCAAACTCTCTGCCTCTTTTCTTTTTATTATTATTTCTTGCAAATAGACCATGAAAGGTATTTTATGGAGGCTGATTTAAAAAAAAAAAAGATAAAAATTTTAAAAAAATAATATCTTAATATCCCAAGCAGTTTACAGTGTCCAGGTGAAAAACTAAAATTCTGGACTTAAGTTTTCAAACTGTCAAAGGATTTTGACTGCTCAACTTTTGAGACATGCTCAGGAGAGCACGTCTTTCAGAGCATAAGCAGTCAATATTTTATGAAGCTCATGACTTTACAGTTCCCAGAGTTGAGCACCAAAAATTAGTAGTTATCTTTAAAAAATCTTTTCCTGACTGCTAAATCTGAGATGAAATTCTGTCATCCTAACCTGCTGCAAGTAGTAGTTCCCATAGCAAAACATTAAAATCGCGGTAAGGAGTAGTTAACCTCTTTGGGAGCTGACATCCTTCCCATTACAGCAACCTAATGAAATTCTTATTGGAAACTTTTAGCCTGTTCTCCAATTCTACAGAAAAAAAAAACACACCAAAAAAAGCATGCTAAAAATAAAAAATAAATTACAAAAAGAGAATTAACTAAACATCAGGTAGTACCAACAGTAGTAAGAAGATGTAGTAATGACAGAGTAATTCCCATATGACCCTGTGCTGCATCTTAAATTGAGCTGGAAGGTATTTCATCTAAAAGCTGGAGCCCAAACTATGTGTCTCTGGTGCGTTGCTACTGGAACTGTGGGAGTGGTGCTTCACCAATAAAATATTACCACGGCCTGAGTGACTATTGTCTTCTCCCTAATTTCATCTTTTGACAAGATGACATGAACGTTTGGCAGGCTTTCATGTCAAAAAAGCCAAGAGAATTTTATTTTATTTCCACTCTCCTTTCTAGTGAAGAAGAGTTCACTTTGCAGATTAGCTTTCTTCTGAGAAAGGCAAGGTCAGCAGAAAGCAGGTTATTTTTAGGGGTCATGTAGCACTTGAGCCAAGACTCCCCAGTGCTAGACAATAATCAGCTACTGGGTTGTATTGTTTTGTTTTGTGTTTTGCAGCTGTGTGCACTTGACCATATTTTGCCAGCTGAGACATTTTCTTAAGGGGAGAGCAAGGGATCTCTAAACACAAACTCCCCAAGTGAAATAAATAACAAACCCTAACCAACCTCCCTAAAATTCCCACATGGTCACTGAACTCATGATTTACTGAAGCAACTCTGTGACTTTTTAAGTACACTCAGACTTGCGGCAAAGCCAGAAAAAAATGCTTGTCATCTCTCTGTATTATGACCTTGTCTCTTGTTTGGCTGTATTCTGCTAGGATTTCAGTTAAGTGGGATTTAAGAACATTTTCAAGTGTTGATAGTTAGACATACCCTGCACAACCAGCTTTGGATGACCATTAAGGAAAGACAGTGACCTGATACCCTGCAAATTCATGGAATCAGAGAATGTTAGTGGTTGGAAGGGATCTCTAGAGATTATCTAGTCCAAACCTCCTGCCAGAGCAGGATCCCCTAGGGCAGCCACACAGGAATGCATCCAAGTGGGGTTTGAGTCTCCAGAGAAGGACGCTCCACAACCTCTCTGGGCAGCCTGTGCCAGTGCTCTGTCACCCTCACAGTAAAGAAACTTCTCCTCATGTTGAGGTGGAACTTCCTATGTCCTAACTTAAACCCATTATTGTTCTATTACTGGGCACCACTGAGAAGAGAGTGTCTCCTTCCTCTTGATACCCACCCCTCAGATATTTATATACGTTAATAAGGTCCCCTCTCAGCTGTCTCCTGTCAAGGCTAAACAGCCCCAGTTCTCTCTGTCTTCATAGGAGAGATGTTCATGTCCCTTAATCATCCTCGTAGCTCTCTGTTGTTCTCTCTCCAGTTGGACTCTCTTGTCCGACTCTCTGTCAGATTCTGCCTATTCTGCATCTTGTTGCTTATTCTGCCTGTTCGGCTTATTGTTGCCTGAAATCCTGCATATTCTGCTACTGGGGAAGTGTTGTCAAGCAGTAACTTTTTGCATTGGTTTCAGGCTCAAAGATCTTCTTTCCAATTTCTAAAAAAACCTCCTTTCTTCCCTTGGGCATCAGTTGAAGCTGCTGACTTGCGCAAAACTGCCAACTCTCTTCTTTCTGCTAGGGTTTTGCTCTCACCTCAAGGATGCCTATAGGCATCTGCACCTGTAAGTGCAGATAGGCAGGTTTGCTCTGCAAAATCTCAGCCGGGATGCATGGCTCCTGGGCTGGAGCCTGCCTATGGCTGGTCACTTGGTGCACGTGACAGCAGAAAATGTGTCTGTGTGTGCATCTGGCCATGTGGTCGTGTACCCACTTTTACCTCAGGCTAGCTCAAGTGGAGAACCTGTGGTTTCTCATCAAGGAAGAAGCCATCCATGGCTGGCTCCAACCCTTCTCTGCTTTCCCAGGCAGTCTGTGCCTCATTCTGTCCTGTCTCTGCAGCATCCCAGGCTTGTGCAGTCCCTTGTCATCCTTCAGATGGAGAATCAATTTGCAGAGGTGACTTTATCTGACTGTGATTTCAGCACACTAGAGTTGTAACCTGTAGTTCTCACTGTGGGACTCACTGAGCCATTCACTCAACCCTGTAGTCCTTTAATCCGTAACCTTTGCAATGAGACAAGGACCTTAATGATGTCCCTCAGGGCTTTTGGAGATCCTTATCCAACCCAAACAGATCCTCGAGTTTCTGTAATCTTTTGGGTGCTTTCTGCTTTTGAGGTCATTATTTATAAATGTAAACAGAATCATAAACAGCTTATCAAGCTTTGAAATATTAATGGGCCTAAAAATAATTGGGCAGTGATAGTTAAGACAAGGTAAAAAGAATAAGAAAATATTTAACAATTGTTATTAATTAGCATTACCTAAAGTTTGAGAGGGCGATTTGGGTAAAGAAGGGAGATGCCAGTTCATGACAGAATCTGATGTTTGTCTTATAAACACCTTGAATATATTGGTGAAGACAATGACTGACCCATATTCCAGTACAAACTTCTTGTAAACTTCTCTGCGTTGAGAGATCCTACCAGAATCACCTCGCCATTTCGCCTTTTCTCTCTGAAGTTTTCTTTTGCTTTATTTCCCTGCAGGACGATGGCCTTCCAGAGAATGAACACCAGCTCTCAGTAGCTGGGAAGATAAAGAAGCATTTCAACACAGGCCCTAAACCGAACAGCACAGCGGCTGGAGTTTCTGTCATAGCAGTAAGCATCTGAAATACACAGCCGAAACACTTAAATTTATGTTCCCACAAGACAGTGTGTGTTAAAAACATGCCACCAAAGGAAACCAGAGAGGGTTAATCTCAAGATAATGCTAGCTTTGAATTAATATGAATATGAATATAGTTAGACTGGTATTCTGCACAATCTCTCTATTGATTCTCCTTGTGAGTCACATTGTTGTTTAACAGCCATAGGAGATATAACTGTACACGCACTTCCACAATTTACCAGAAGACCAGTGGACCTAACTCCAGAGTAGATTCAACAGTTTGAGCTGTGGGATCTTGACTTTTTACTTGGCAGCAGAATCATCACATGGATTGAGGCCGCACAGAGTTTGTAGCAGAAGGACAGCAGCACTTTAGAATGGAAATTACTTCAAAACTGAAACAGAAAATCTGTATGGCAGCCTAAGCTTCTCTTCTCTGAAGACATCAAAAGATAGCTATGATACCTGACTGCTGCCTTCATAGTTGGTATGAGTCTAACCACTACAGATTTAGCTGAGCAGCAGCATTTTACTGTACTGCCACTTGCTAGCTGCTTCCCTTTAGGCGGAAGGACTTAATTGGGTAAAGACTTAACAGAGCTCCTTGCTGCCTGCTGTCATGTTGCAGTTCCAGTCATTCCAGGTCAAAATATGTCGGAGCTTCTGAAACCAAGCTTGACCAAACTTTTGACCAAGCTTTACTGAGGTTTCAGCAGCATCCTCGGTGTAGCATACGTCACATACATTTGCATTTTTTTCTCCAACGATGAACATGTGTATTAGATATACATGGGCACAGAAAATATTCAGTGTATTATGAGGTTACTCATACTAATGCCATTGAATAGCGACATGCCCATCCTTCACATTTTTGATACATCTGCCTGTGTTTGTAAGCTTTTCTTTATTACTCATGGTAATGTTAACACTCCAAATAGTCACTAAAAGTAAGTGACACGTTAAACATAACCATTCCCATATCGGATTACTCAATGTTCATTCCCAGCTTCCATGAGTTGCAGGTGGTGTGACTGCACATGTACACTTTCTTGTACTGTTTCCACTTTCATGTTTCTCAGCTCAGCCCCTCCAGTGGTGAGTTAAATCAGCATGAAGTAAAACTCAGCTCAGCACATGCAATCTGGCTCACAGGTGTGAACTGTTTGTGCAGCAGAACAGATAATTTCTCAAAGTTACTTGGTATAAGTACTTAAAATTTCAAGCTGTGCCTCTCTCATGTTTTTTTCTTTACTCTTTCCAACCCTGAACGTCCTCAACATGGAAGCAAGTCGTTCCTCATGCTTTTCCTAGATTTTCTCAGTCATCAGTTAACATAGTCAGCATTTATTTATTTTCATTTTTAAGCAATAATACTGCAACAACTCTCCCACAACTAAAACATCACATACCCATTGCTCATCTGAAATGCAGGTATGTTCTGTACAGACTAGCTGAAATCGTGTTCCTTTCGAATGGACTGCCAGCACGCTTGTCCATGAGAATTACTGCTCAGATCCTCCATGCTAATAACTTCAAAGCTTAAAAGCGAGAAATGATGCCTCTGTCCTCATCCATCCCTTGCCTCCTTTTTTGTTAAATTTCCCCACCCTCCTCTTTTTTTTTTCCTTTTCCCCAGTTGCTCTGCCAAAGAATTGTTTTCAGTAGTTTGACACTTGAGTAATGAAAAAGGCACTGTAGTGGATCTTTCTACTGGAAAACTTTATACATTGGGAAAAAAAATATATATCTGTGTTTAATTATATTCTTAATGGCTTTTATTTATTTTTTTAATGTTTGGAAATTTAACAGATTATTTTTAGTGATTGTCTCTATGGGTAAACATCATACTCTGGCATGATTAATCCTGCAACTTGGCCTATAAAGTAGAAATGTCTAGAATATTTTTAAAGAATTCAGAAGGTGGATTGATTAGTTTGTGTCAAGTATTTTCTAAAAACTTAGAAGATTTGGGGAAGTGTAGACGTCTTTAGTGTTTTGGTAATATTCCAGAAAGCTAGATAGTTTTGATTTTAAGAATAAATTACATCTATTTTCTACAAAACTAATTTAATAAATGCAATAAAGCTAAAAGCAAAACAACAAAGTCTTTAATTGTTGTTTCTGCATTTACAAGCATACTTAATATACATTTGAAATGCATCTCATTGGAGTTTTACATTTGGGAATCTTTCTTTAGCTGTGCAATCTCAAATTTCATAGAATTCTTACTAAAAACGATTGCTCCACATTTGGAATTTTCAAAGTATGTACAGGTGCTGTAACATATCGTTCAGCACTAAAGGTGTGCGTTAGGTATATTTTCTACAAATATATTGTTTTATTGTGCCTGCCTGTATGTTCACTGTAACTTTTTGAGAGAGTGCTTGTGTCTATAATATATAAAGAAGCCTTCTATATATTATATAGCACATCTGTGTCTGTGTGTATGTTTGTGATAATGTGTTGATATATGCATATATAGCTTACTTAATAGTATAAAAGATAACTAATAGCATTATTTTGAGTTTTATAACTCTGCTTATGTAGAGATAGATAATCTGTGGTATTTAGTTCTTAATGTGACCACACACTGGTATATTATGTGCCTGTTTTCTTCAGCGGTAAGAAGTAACACACCTCAAAGATCTCAAGCAGTATTTATCATATGCACCAATTAAAATTATAATATGAAAACTAAATTCCTGAAGATACATTTATCGTCAGCTTGATGGGGAGGAAGTTTGAAGCCACGTGTATTTTACGTAGGTCCACAGTGGCTACTGCTTCCTTCAGTGATGTCCAAATGCATTGCATTGGCTCTTTTGGTTCAGACTTCGGTCTGCTTTGCTGATGTTGTAATCCTCACTAAAAGTTGTCTCTGACGGTTCAGGGCAGAGACATCCTACAAGTTCTCATGCGTGTGTCCAGACTTAAAGTTTATCCGCATTTGAAAGGATTTGTCAGTTCGGACAAACTACCATAATGAACACGTTGTGCATGGCTAGCAAGGTAGTTCCTTTTCTGACGTAGTAGAAGATGATTCCTCAAACAAAATTAACTATACAGGCAAAGAGACTTTTCTGTGGATACATTAATACATCATTAAAAGTTCTGCCAATGTAACTAAAAGTCAGTTGGGAAAAAATTCTCTTAAACCAATGTAGCTTTGCCAGCAAAATTTTAATTGGAGAGCTAGCTTTTAAAACAGCAAGAGAATTAACAAATCCCTAAAAACCACTGCGTGCTGATGGGAGAGTATGTAAGAAAAAAAAAAAAATCACTTTACTTGCCCTGTTCTTAAACCCTTGTCATAGGCGTTGACTCCAGGTCTCTGGGGACAGGGGCTGTGTCCCTCCAGTTTGTGTATCCGAATGGCCGCGATAGTGTTAAGCGTGTGCCAAAATATCCGCAGGATCGGGTTTCTCATACACCTTTCCAATAGGAGCAGTATTTTGTAGTTCCATGATGGTGTCTGTAAAAGATACTGCGGTAAAAACATAAAACTAGAGTTTTACTAAATAGTCCTTTTAAAATTTGAGGATGTTTTTTCCCTTCAGTTCTCCAAGGATATCATCCCATTGTTTTTTTCTTTGCCCACAAAACATTACCCTCTGCTTGTACCTTCTGAGCTTTTAGTGCCAGTGGCTGAAGTGACCAAGAGCCAAAATCATGAAGAATACTTCTGCAATCTAGAAGTGTGCTGTAATTCCTTGTATGAACTGAGTATCATTTAATTTGCGTTCTTGTCTGAAGTGTTCAAGATCTGCCTGTATGTTGTCACTTTTGTGCTTGTTATTTTTGCCATTGTTAAGACAAGAGGAAAAGACTAATGATAATCTCGTGTTGAGGTTGTATGAGGTCTCTGTCTTGGCAATGGGAGTAAACTCCAGCTGGAGGCTCAGAGGAATCAAGGACGGCAAAAGAGAAAAGCTGCTCAGAAAACTGGTGCAGCTTTTTGTCTCTTGTGGGGTCCTCACTAGGATGGGAACACCAGCTCAGGGCCACTGACCCTGGACCAGCGAGGGGAAGGCAGCAGATGGGTCTCCCTGCGTTCTGCCGATATCAAAATACAGTTACAAATTCTAAGTGGCATTTATAGGGGTGGGATTTCTTGGGTGGTGCGGAAGAGAAGCCAAGTTGAGTCTGTGAGTTTTTGCTTGGCTTAGACATAAACACATGCCTTGGCTGTCACTTCCCATCTATTGTCTGTCTTGTCCTGGGATCGTTGTCCACAGTCAAGTTTCTCATGACAGGATTTCCACACTAATTAAATTGTTTCAACTTGTGTTAGGAAGCAACTCCCCCGATTTTCTCTGTATTACTTTTTAGCTATTCATTTTCAGGGCAATATTTTTGATTTGTCTTTCAAGAAAACATCCCTTTTGTGTATTTTTTTTTTGTGCCGCATACAAGGAAGCCAGTAGGTGGCAATAGCAGACCAGTGTAGTTAAGGCTTCAGAAAATTAACTCTAGGTACAAGGTTCTCATGATTTTAAACTGGGAACGTCCTTTAAATAATTCTAAATAAGATGAACGCGGCATTGTTTTACCAAAATGGAATAAATTATTAAATTCTACTTTTGCAAGGGAGTCATCAAGAAAAATTTAAATTTACAGTTAGCTCTTAGCTATCCTTGAAGTGGTTGGTAACTGGAAATGTGCTGAACTGCTTTCCTGAATTTAGAATTAGAAACTGTCGTCAGTATTGGAAATATATGCCACACTCTTATTGAAGCACAAAATGGCCTTTATTTTTCATAGGGCAAAATGTGAAAATCATTGCAACTTACAATTCTGAAGTGTCTCCCTCAAGATATTTACCCCTAAATTCTTATTTAACTCAGCTAAATGATGTCTCTGCTGTCTGTTAGTGCAGCACAGAAGGGTTAGAGAAAACTACACATTTTCTTTGTTCCTATGCACATGATTTTGCTAATGATAAACTAAAATTAAAAGATCTATATTGCTTAAGTAATGTCATAAGCACACTTTCCTGGACACAATTTTAAGTTCATTTCCATTTTGACTTTAATTGGTGCAATTTTAAACCGAATAGTTTTGTACTCTTATCTTTTTGAGCATGAGGTGTAAGCTGAAATGATAAACAATGTTATTCATGGCTCTGAGTAGTCCTACTCTCCAAGGTTAACGCATTTTTAGAAATGAATTACCGTGATTGATGGGGTATCAAAAGCTGATTCTTTCATCTTTACACATTCCATGATTATGAAGCAGTCTAATTTAAGCCTTGTGTAGTCTGTCTAGCCTGCTCCTTGTGATGGTTGCACTGCATTTTTTTTTTAAATTATTAAACCTTTCACTTTAATTGCAAAAGATAATTTTCCATTACTGGTATGTGCAACTTAAAAGGGCACTTCTGTCTTCGGAGGTAACAAGATATTTGTCAGACTTTTAAATGAATGCATTATGCATTAAGTAACCTATTTCACAAACTCCGTTTTAGTTCGAATAAATTGGCTTCTAATTTAGCAAGACCGAATCTAGAGTTAGTATCTTTTTCTTTTATTTCTTTACTTTTTTCTTCTTTTTTTTTTTTCATCTCTAGTACAGAGCTTTAGGATGTTAGATAAGTACCTTCTGAAAGTGAAAACAGTAAATATGCACTAAATAAGGAACAGCTTGCTCTGGAGTCTGAATTCTTTAGCCTAATGTTGATCCACTGAGTTGCCCCGTTTCTCTCTGCTCAGCTGGACCACGGGTTTACCATCAAGAGATCAGGGTCTTTGGACTACTACCAACAACCAGGAATGTATTGGATAAGGTATGAGATGGTGCAGCGCCAACAGTCAGTGTTTCCATGGCAACGTGCTGGCAGTCTCCATTAACCAGTTCCTTCAGTGGATAAACATGCTTTTTGATTTGTTATCCGGTCCATATGCTGCTTTATCAGTTTCGTTTTAATCTTGATTGAGATGCCACACCCCCTCATTCCCTTTCTTCACCCATCCCTCACACCCACATTGCCAGCTTTCTCTTCATCGCACATGCTCCGTATCAATTTCCCCTATAGTTAAAAGGACAGTGTATATAGAAAATCTACTAGATATGCTGAAGTGCGCACCCTCCCCCTCCCTTTTGCTTGTTAAGGCATCTGCTTCCCCCTGCGCTCCTGTTCTGAAACACACGGAGCAGCAACAGGCTCTCAGCATATATTTTCCTCTTTTTCCATGCGAGATGTGGAGCTATATACTGTCATTTTAAACCCACCAAACACAATCCTTACCTTAGATTGAACAATGCATTTACATAACGCGGGCCGTAGAAACTCTCCCAAGTTCAATGAAATACAATGCATTGTATGTGCTGGTAAGCTTGTGTTTCTAACAATGCATTCGTTCTCTTTTCTTTTTAAAACCCTTCTGATACCTATTTATTTTGATTTGATTTCTTTAAATATTGCATGAGTCTTTTGAATATCTTTTTCTTCATTGTGTAACTGTGCCAGGGTTGTTGTTAGCTGGCTTAACCTGTATGATAAAATGGGGCTCTGGGCGGGAGGGGGTTATTCTGGAGCTGGGGCAAGGAGGGATCCAGGTCTGATAGCCCACTCGAGGCCCACACACCTCTTCAATCAATCCAGAGCCCTGGAATTTACATCAAGTGGTTATTTGCTGGCTTTTTTCCTTCTTATTACTCACAAGACCTGAGTTTTGATAGCTGGAGAAATTTTTTAATGTTTCTCACAAAACCTGCATTTTCTAACACTGCACTGATTGAAGCCTTTGAAACCTCGTCTGGGAGGTATTTGGAAAAACTCAGCAAATTAGCCAATTAGTGAAACAGCAGAGATGATCACTGCAAGTGTTTCCAGTAAAGTAAAATTCCCACCCTGGATTATTTCACTGAATGCATGGATCAGGCTACAGCACAGTTTCCATAAAATCTAGCGGTTCCCTGCGCACACACTGAGGGTGAAGTGGATTCTGATATGGATGTTCTAGAGGGAAAAAAAAAAAAATAAGAAAAAAGAAAAGTAGTCCTATTTTAAAGACAAAAAGTACAAAAGTAGTCCCCATCCATAAGCTGAAACCTGGCTACCAATAACTGAGAAGTGCTTTCACTCCAGATGCTGGAGTGTGCAGCAGTAGAGGCAATTGCAGCCTATCGCAAGTGCAATGATGGCGATAAACCTATCGCGACTTGTGAGGACACAGCAAAACCGTCTTGGTGTATCTTGTCACTTGACATTAAGCTTCACAGGTTCCAGCCCTGTAGCACAGCCGTGAGACAGCAGCTCAGCATCTGTGCTTTGTGCTTTTGAAAAAGGGAAAAATGACACCTGAGTGCCCAGCTTTAGCCGAGTGTGGGTTTGATAGTATTAGAGGAATTTTTCTTTTCTGCTTACGAAGGAAAGATGGCATTTTTCTGTCAAGCCGGACTTTGTCAAATAGTTGCAAATTTAATACCTCCTCTGTAAAATGGGGGAAAGCTCACATGAGCTTTATTTATCTTCCTGGAATTTAATTGCTATCCATGATCACTTTACACTCCTTCTCTGCTTTACTATTTTTATTTTACACCAGAAAAAAAAAAGAAAAATCTGTATTTCCATTTGCTATACACAATGTTTAGATCTTTTAAAACCAAAGCTTCAGGGGGAGCAGACCACCAGAAATAGGAGCCTGTCACAAAAGCGAGCATCTCTTCTCAGATTGGCCTTGACGCAGTTTAACTGCATTTTGAAACAAACCATATGCATTTTGAGGAGGTAAGGGGAGGGGGAGGACTTTAATTCTGCAACTTGGTAAATAAATAAATGCTATAAAAAAAAAGAAGCCATTTGACTAAAGCACTAGTAATGGCTGCCATCAGCATACAAAATGACATATCCCTGAATAATGGGCTGGAGCAGATGGGCGATAATCTCTTATTCATACATAAACTGCTCTGTTTTCCAGCTGGGGGCAGTAACAACAGTGTTTTATAATTAGTGATTTCTAAACAGGGTGCCTAGTGCAGAAAGGCAAATTGGGAGAGCTGGGCTCCTAGGTGTAGATGCTTAATTAGGTAATGCTATAAACAGAGGGTAGCTTCAAACAAGCATTGCCCTGTGTTTGGTCCTCTTTCATCTCCAAGAGAACAAGCAACTTTTGTAGTGACCAACATTTTAGTCTAAATAAAACCATTTTGGTGGAGCAAGCATTTACTTTTTTGCAGCACAAATGCAAAGCATATGAAAAGGTTGATCAATGCCCAACTATAAAACAGTTAATTTATCACTGGCCCATGGAAATTGAATTCACAAGTAAAGCAAAAAATGAAAGCAGGTCCCAAGGAAAATGAAATGCTCCCTTTGTTAGTGTTAAACTATTTGTTTCTTCTCCACTCCTTTGATCATTTTCATCCCTAGTTTCTAAGAGTCTTCTAAAATATCTTTTTTAATGGCACAATTTCCTCCTTCAATCAACCAGGAAAACTTTTCCTTTCTCTGCCTAAAAGACTTTCCAAAGCAAAGTGCCTCAAAGTCCTAATTTTCTGAGCCCTCATTCTACATCCTGTCTTATTTGCTTTCAGTAGGATAGTATGTGCAAAAGTGACATGACTTCTTTTGAGATACCAAAATACAATAAACCTTATGTACAGTAATAATTGTGGTAGCAGGTATGAGATATAAAGCCTGGAAAATCTTACGGTGTTACTTGAATATGAGGAACAGAAAAAATATGGGGCTCAAATCAGTAAAATAATTTGGACCGCAGACTCATACATGTTTTAGAAGCAGCCCAGCCAATGCTATTGAGATATCAGCCCTGCAATCAGAAGTACAGAAAAGGCCAAAGCAGCATCAGTAAGGGGGTGAGACGTGGAGGTCTCAGTTAAACCCCTGAAGTCTACATTGCCCCAAAGCTGGTGAAATGTTTT